TATTCTTCAGATCATATTTAGAGGCCGTGGCTCACAAATGCTTTATACCAGGAGGATAACTGCTTGCACACCCCAGCTCTGCCCCTGCCCCACACCAGCGAGTGCAGGCTCTCACGCCTTCCCAAAGCACCAGCATCTCCATCAGCATAAGAGATGTTCAATAAAAACACAGTTACTGCAATACAAAACTCCATTCACAAAACCCACTTTGCACTGTGTCCTGGTTTGAGATAGAATGAGACCAACCCTCTTTTCAGTAATTTTACTTTTCACTTAAGTCTCTTCTAACTGACTCTTAACAGTCTGCATCTGATGAGGTGCTGGTGTTTTACAAGATTGTCCTACATACACTTGTGATCCACACAAACTCAGGACTTCATGACGCTACGTGACATCTCCACTGTGCCACTCCTAGTTCAAAATATGTCTTTAAGCATCCACAGTATCAACGAGGGGATTAAATTTAAGCATGCGCTCAAAAACTCCACCAAGCAAGGGCGAAACCTAGCAGATAAAAGCTCTGCTCGGGACTTACAATTCACCACCTTCACACAGCAAAAAAAATCCCTTCGTTTTAAGTGATTTATCAGAATAACGGATATTTGTATGATAGAACAGATTACTTGAAAAATCATCCCATGCAATCACTACAGTCATAGCAAAGTCAGGGCTTGTTCTACTACCGCTACAAATATTCTGTATTTGCCTCCATAAATACCAAGCAATGAAAAATAGCGCTAATTCAGCCAGGATAAGAGTCTACAATAAAAGCCCTTGGTTTAGGTGTGAGAAGATTTTTGTACTTAGAAGGCGTGAAATTCCCCTTTCTCCTGGTGACAAGAAATGACCCTTGATGCCCCATCTCCTCCAGGACATAGCCAAAGTGGAAATAATTTTCAAAACTAATATGTACACGGAGTAACATGGTTAACATCATCCAATGAATTTAGATCCACCTACACGGTATAAATATATCTAGATAAACTGTCACCTTCAGCAGAATTCATTAAAATAATGTTGTATCTTCCTTGTTAAATGTAATTTTTTTAATTGAAATTTAATCTTACTGTATTATTTGGTAGATTTTTAATTGACATTTGTAGTAATTAATTGGTAAGCATTACAGCTTTGTCTGAAGAATTTAAAACTAAATTTGACATCGAGATTGGCCAGCCACTGCTGTGAGGTGCCTGCTGGGAGCATTTCATCATCCTCCCAGCCCCTCCTGCTGATCAGAGGTGGGAGATGATGGTCTCTTTCTTACAGTCATGAATTACATTACTAATGTATTCCATTACCACCACGCAAATGTCATGTTAATTCCTGATCATCATCAAGTCAGACAATGGTTTCCACGCTGGCACCCAGCCAATTAGCGGTGTGGAAAAATATTCCGCCAATTATATAACTTGAATTAGGTTAAGGACTCAAGAGAAAGCAAAATAAATGCTTTGAAAATACTTCTGAGATAAAATGTAAGTTGACACTGTCTTCATGTGCTATAGCCGATGTTATACAATCTGATAGGCAGCTGCCAACATTCATAACTGTTTATTAAATCTAGCCTCTCTTTATGGTGGCAGCTAAGATCTGTATTTTTACCAATATTAGGTTCATTGTGTTATGAAAAAAGACCAAAATACTTAGGAGCATTCACACCAGCTTATAAAACATATTATGTAGTATATTAAATTGTTAAAATTACTTCTTCTCTCCTCTCCCCCCACCACAGAGAAAGTTCCACGGACAGAAAAGTTTCAGAAAAAAACAAAGTCTTTCTGTAGCCACCGATGTTTTACAGGAGCAAGGCAGATCCTGCGAGGACAGAAGTGCCATCTCTGGGCTGGTGCCACATCTCCTGCCATGTGGCTCTGCTGGGGGATGCTATGGTCAGCTCCTGGAGCTTTGTCCCACTCCCCCTGTCCCACCAAAACACGTCAGGGTTAGGACAACCCACTGACCCGGGGGGACCCCTCGCTGCAGACAAACCCTTTGGCTTTTGCTCCCTGGCTATCACAAGAAGCACCACAAGCAGATAAAGCCCTCTGTGTAACCAGGACCCATCCACTAGAGGAGAGGACTACAGCAGAATCAAGGCATCCCTGCAAAAAAGGATCACCACAAAGCCTGGTGGAAGTGGCTCTGGCCACGCAGGGACTTGGCAGGTTTCTAACCCTGCCATAGCCTGGTGTGCTCAGCATCGAGCTCCGCCGGCAACGCGCTGGGCTGGCAACTCGCCGCACCACCAGGTTTTTAGTACCACCCCATTATTTTGATTTGTTCTGCTCTTAACTCAATTTATCCTACAAGCATGGTTATCTCCAATTTAAAAACGTACACAGCACCAGTTCCTCGACTTCAAAAATTTATAACGATGAGCAATTTGTTAAAACCTTTTACCGTATCTATCTGTCTCATTTTCCGAGGTGCTGCGATGAGGCAATTCACTGTTCTGGCTGCTTACCCTAGATGACCTTTGCCTGCCATAAAATGGTATACAACTAAATGCTCTGCTTTAAATAAAACCCTCGCCTCTTCAAAAGGTCCTAGGTATTCAGTCAACACAATCAGCAGAAACCACATTTGGTTACTCAATAAGCTGGAAACTTCTAAAACGCGTTGGGCCGTGAATGGATTCCTGACATCACCAGGGACACTCGAGTGGGGAACAAGAGAGACCGCCAAGAAGTGGCTCTTGCTGCCGCCGGAGAAAGGATCACTCCTTTAAGCTGAACTCTCAAGGAAAACGAGAACAAAAACTGAATTAGCTCAACACGTACCCTCTGCAGTCAGCACATTGCTAGGCAACTTACCATCTCTTGATAGAATTATGGTGGAGGGCTGGTCATACATCAGGGTTAAGATGAACACAAGCACCAGTTTTGGCCAACTGCTCCTTTCCAGTGGGACTGCTCAACGCTTGGTCATTTCATATTATTATTTTGCAATATTTTCTATGCACCTAGAGAGTCTAATGCATTCAGAAGGTATTTTAAAGCTATTATGTTACATGAAAATTTTACGATAACTGGAAGTAAGTGAATTTTAGGAGGAATAGCACGAGTCTATTTCCTTGTTCAAGCCAGCATTTGGAGACAGCTAACAATCCTTTTCGTTGCTTTTATTTTTTAATACTGAAGCTATCCAGAGGACACGCTACTCAAACACTTTGTCTTGACTCCAGACGCTGGTTGGCCACAGCTCCATACTTCCATAACTCAGCCTGGTAGTTCAAGATGATGCTTCAAAGAGCATGCCCCGGTCCTTCCATTTGCCACCACTGAGACCAGACACAAAGTCTCATTACAGGCAGTGCCACGGGGCTATCACATACCTGGTGATGTCACACTTAACCTACACCAGCCTAGAAGGACCTCGATCTTTAATAGTGACTTGGACAATAAGATTGGGACTCCAGGCATTATTTACAGTTATTAAAGAGGCATTAAGCAAATGCACAGACTGCTTTAAACAGAGGCATGTACCTTGCATATAACCCCAAGTTTTCCATGCATACTTCATAGGCACAAAGAAATAATTAATCAGTTAACCACCGTGATTAAAGTCAATTGATTCATACGCGACAGAGCGGTGAGAAATTTTTGCATCACTGGAGAAGTCTGGAGTTGGTCCCTGTTTGGGGATCTCAGTCCCATCAGTGAGGCTGGCAATTCAGTCATGAAGGAAATGGTAAGAATCCCTCTCCTGTATGCACACTTTGAGCTGCCATATGGGTTTATTCAACTGTTTACTACACCAGTCGGTAAAAACTGAACAGCTATTATAATCTTTGCTAAATGACATGGTAATTATGCTACCTCTGGAAAAAAGAAAAAAAAATGGAAACTTTAAAAAAAAAAAATATCACAATTCACTGATGTGTGAATTTCTTGAGTTTTATAATCTTTGAATTGAAATGCACTTTCTAACACACAGAGGGATATTTAATATATAATAGAAACCTGAATTTATTTTAAAAAACAATTTGTGCTCCCATTTCCTACACAATTTAATTCTGCAGTTTTCCTAGTTTTGAAAGATTTCTTACATAGACCTTCCAATTCTCCTGTAAAATCAGATGATTCTTGTTTTCCCAACCTCAGTCCTCTGATTAATGAAGAAATATTGCCCCCAGTTATTAAAAGAGCCAACCAGGAGCTGGCGGGTAAGAGGAGAGGGCAGGGGAAGGCTCCCCATGCCAGGCTGCTGGGGGACAGGGACAAGGAAAGGCACAAAAGGGACCAACTTCTCGGTTGGCTAATGCCATGGGGAAATGGCAACTGCCAATTAACAGAGAAGGCGCTGCCCCACACCAGCCTCTCAAGCTTGACCCAAGTGCACCCTGGCCAAAATTGGCTATTAAAGGCTCTGTCCCAGTTGCTCCATGCCATCCATTGCAGCACCGGTGCCACGCTGAACCGGGCAAGCGCACGCGACGAGACAGCTCTCCTGTGTACCAGTGACACCATTTTGTCACTGGGACGCAAGTGCAGCAAACTGTGGAGCTAATTATTTGTTGGCAATGGCTCCTTTGAGAGTCCATCATCTGACACATGATGGAGAGGAGACCTCTCCATATTCATATTTAATCACGACATGAATTGCCCGCATAAGCATGTTCAGACCCTGCCTATCTGAAAGACATTTGTTTGGGGCAGTAGCTTCACCTGCATCACTGAACTCCAGTTTCACCACCAAAAAGACCTCAGAGCTCACTGGATTTAAGGGAATGGGGAGAAGAAAAGAAGGAAGGGAGTGTTTTTTCTGTATTGATAATACTTGGCATCACTGCTTTTTCATTACAATGAAGGTCTTGTCTTTTTCCCTTTTTGTTTTTAGATTATTTTAAATAGTAACTACTTGCTTTTAAGCACAGACAACACCAAAAAGAGAAACCCCAAACCCCAACATATTAAAAAGGGGAGAAAAGGATGAGGGAAAGAAAAAATTGTGAGAAAAAATAAGTGAGAGTTACTGCAAACTCGGGTTTGAGGACTCACCAGTTTTACTTGCAGGCATCACACATATCCACTCATGACTCAGGGCAAATATGGGAAAGGATCGAAACCCTTATCATGGCAAATGTGTCTGGAAGCCGGAGTCACTCAGAAAAAATGTTCTCAGGAGACTGAAAGACAAAAACATGTTTTAAAACTTCACTCAGTTAGAATTGTACCAAAGCCTACCGTTTTCCTTTGAAAATAAAAGGTGGTTATAAATATTGGAGGGGGGCAGCATTACAGAGGTATTTCTACGTTACTCTATCACACAGCAGACTTTATTTGGCTTTAAATAAAACTGAAACTTACAATATTAAGAGAAGTTTTTAAAGACACACTTATTTCACATTTGCAATGTGCTCCTCCGACAGGCAAGCTTATGTTCCTTCTAAATACCAAAATGTGTCACCAGCCAAATCCAGATTCTGCTCGAAAACACTGCGCTGTGCACAAAATCCAGACACTTTAACCTACTTTGCATTATCAAAATACAACAAACTCTGAATTTCTGAAATATTTACTCTCTGCCTTCACTCACTGCATCCTGATAAAACCTTAACAAAACGTAGAATCTCTTGTTAGCAATAATCTTTCCTCCGAGATAAGGAAAAACACATATAAAACCTATTTGATGTTCAGGGTGAAAAGGCAAAATTTGCAAACATCAGTTAAGAAATACCAATTAGTATGTTTTGTTTTTTTTTTTTCCCCAGCTATTAGTAACACAGACTGAGTTTAAGCTTAGCTCAGAGGAAGCTGCTCACTCTACAGATGAAACATCCATTTTATTAATAAGGATATTTTAAAATAAGACGTGTAACTTGTTCACTGGCAAAGTATCCACACTGAGTAAAAGCTGTTACTCGGAAACACGAAGGGAGGTGTTCCCGGGGCTGCTCTGCATCACACCCATGAAACCAGACGGGATTTAAAGAGCAGCATCAGTGCCTGCCCAAACTGGGGAAGGGCACTCGCTGCCCTAATGGATGTGCCAAGACCTGGGACCACTCTGCTCCCTGGACCACTGCACAACAGGGACCTGCAGCAATAAGACCTCAGGGGAGAAAACTAACTTTGCAACAGAGGAAAATGTCCCGAGGGACCAGAGTAAGAAAAAATTCGAAAGCAAAAATCACATGTGGTGCTTATGACCTCTTCATTGCCCGATCCTCTCCCTCCCTGGCATCCCCAAGGTGGTGGCTGCTCCCAGCCTTTCCACATCCACCAGCTCTTTGGCAGCGGCAGGAACTGCCACCTCCAAATTAGCCCCGTGCAGTTAATTATTTTGGCAGCCCACTGCAGCCTCCCCGAAGAACATCTGGAAGCTTCTGTCTTAGCAACAACTGCATGAAATTTCGTAAGACAAAACCCAGGTACTTCTCTGGCCCTGAGGCTTTCTCCCATCCTTTGCTGAATGCAATGCAACGGCTCAAAGAAGATCACAAGAGGTCAGAAATCTAAATATAGGGATTATGTGACCCTATTATAAAACTGTGCTACACCAATAAAAATAGATCCAAAAGGGGGGTTTAAACAGCATTTATGCTAAACATGACTTTTTTCTCAGAGACTCTGAAATACCTGCAAACCAAAAGTGACCCGAGTCTTGCATCAGCTGTATTTTATTCATGAGGAGCAGAGCACTTGAGAGAACCAACTGAGCAGTGTCAGAAACACACATCCGAGACCAGCTTTATTGCTGCTCCTGATGACAGATATGCAGATGGGTACAGAGCTGAGCAGAAAGCTGCATCGACACATGTTGGGGCGAGATTTCTCCAGCTGACCTGCTGCACCACACTATTCAACTGCTCAGTAATCTTTATCCATGATACGTCTGTAACGCAGGAAAGCGTCTTTGGCCCCATTTAGAAGATGAGGAATTGAGGCTCATTTTGGCTAATGCTTACTCGAAAGATTTCATGTTCTTTTGAGACTTCTGAGGCAAAATGATTTGTCTAAATAATATATTTGGTCTGCAGCAGACAAGGACTGTGGTGTACAAAAGCACTTCCCTCACTTCCAGTTCACTCTTCTCCTTCACATCCTTCCTCAAGCATAAAGAATTTCTTGGCATCTTTGTGCCAACAAGCAGATTTGAAAGCTGGAAGAGCTTCTACTCAAGGAACAAGAAACAGTGTTGGGAGGAGGTGAAGACATCCCATCCCAGCTCGGCCATCGAAAACTGACCTCATCAAAATATTCCACAAAACATTTCTGCAGCCAGGTTTCCCAAGGGAACAAGGCTTATGAGCTCACCAGGTACTTTCTGTGCCCAGCCCCACCTGCATCTTTTGAATCCCTTGGGATTAACAGGAACAGAGAGCTCCCAAAGAGATGAATTCTCACGTCATTAAGTCTGGGGCTTGCACCACTGGAGGCCTCCAAAACCATTTGATTGGGTGTCTCCAGCAGCCAGCTGGCTCACCGGCACACCGCCAGCTCCAGGCTGAGCCTTGCCAAGAGGGAGCCCAGCATGGCCCGGGGGCATGAAGGCATCTCAGGCACTTCCATGGACCTCAACACTGGAGAGCCTGGGGAAACCACACATAGTGCTGAGGGAAAGGGTGGAGGAGGGAGAGGAACAGATAATAGATTGGATCTGATAAACTGAAGCCTTTAATGATCTACCCACGCACTTGAGTTCGATCTGGCATTGACAAATTGAAGCTTTTAATGATGCGCCCACACATTTGAGTTGGACACTCCTCTTCTACAACTTTCACAAAAATAGCCTGCTGGGCTAAAGACAGAGAAACTCTACTAACACTGCCACACGAGCAAAAATCTTGACCATTCTTTGACAAAACTTCTCCCCTGACAGATTCTTTGATGTCATCTCCAACGCAGACCTCCACCACAGACCTTCTCCTGTGCTGCCTTGCTCCCATAGAGATTCTCTGAAGGCTACAGCTAAATAAGGGGCAATGAGATGCAGCAGCTTTAGCATAACCGAAGTACAAAGTCAATCAAACCTTGAAACAGGAATCTGGGCTTCATTAATTCCAGCAATCACAACGTTTTTATTATCGCTGTATTAATCAGAATAGGAAACCTATTAATCTACCCCCAACAAAAATTAATCTTCGTAATATTGAACAGATTTGAAAGACAAGTTTTAATATTTCACTATTTAAATCTCAAAGGCAGAGGTGCACAGCTCAGATGATCTAGCAGACCACGATGGACTCCATCTCAGCGTGAGGTCAGCCCTACCACCCTCACCTTTCCCTGAGGCTTCCAGCCCCTTCCCACATCTTCACCTCAGGGTCTGGCTGCTCCCGGGACTTTTGAAGCAACCGAGACCATCGTTTCATACGTCAAGCTGCAAAACTGGCTGCAGCACTTGATGCAATTAAAGACCTGCCATGGGTTTAGGCTGTGACCTAAGGAACAGCAGGGCTTGGGTGGCACAGGCTGGAAATGTCCCCCCACGTGAAGGGTGGGCACGAGTGAGGTCTCTGCAATGGGCAGGACAAACCTGATGGGTGGCAGATACACGACCACATGTTCAGGGGAATGGGAAAAGGTGTGGAAAAAAGGCAGGCAGCTGCAAAACAAGAAAGTATCTGAAATTCTCATGCTCCAGTGGAGCGAGACAGGGATTGCTATATGGATCTGGCACAGGGTACCTGCAGTAACTCCCCCCTACCCCCCCGGCCATCGCAGTGAGCTGCAAAACACCCCGACACCACCAGATGTGGCATCGTAAGAGAGCCCAGCTTCCAGGAGAAAAGGGGTGGCAGAGGAAAAGTCTTACGAAGCGATGGCAAGGAGCGGGACAAAACAGAAAGCGGCTGAGGAAATAATGACAAATGTGACTGAAAAAGAGGGAAACGACCCAAAGCATCTCCAGACACCCATGCGCTGTCTGAGGGTTCTGCTGCTGCTCTCCTGTCACCCACCTGCGGTGGCAATTCCTGCTGGACACGTTATTCTGTTACTTGGCCAGATTTTCATTAAAGCAGCTTTCACCAACGTATATACACACATACATAGGTAGATACACATACACCTGGGACTATATTTGGCACAACCCATTTCAAAGCCTGATCAAAGGCAGAACTTCAATCATCTCACGCACCGCTCGCATTAGGCTGTTTACCGAGCGCAATCAAACTACAGAACACTGTTTTAACTAATGATTTCTCAAAGCCATGTTGCACAAAAGAAAACAGGTTCAACTTGTACATCAGTGCCTAAGAGACCGCTCCAAAACAGACAACTGTATGGAAAGTTGTGCCCATGTATACATATATACAAAACTGTTTTTAAGTGACTGTTTTAAATTAGAATAAATCTGTGTTCCACCAATTAAGCTTTGAATGCACGGCTGATAGCACTCGCTATTTTAAACAAGCAGCATAATAAATGCAAAAATTCAAATATTTTAGAGAAAATACTTGGAGAGTCGAGACATTAATTTTGCCATATACAATCTGTTTCACAGGGATTTAAAAAGCGTTATTGCCACCCTGGGTACGTTGGAACAAAGATGAAACACCATCCTTTCCTATTTACATATTAAAAAATACGTGCTTTCTTGATACAGACTACCCAGCTTGCCGATACACGACTCTGTTAAAGACAATACAGCCTGTCTAGAAAATGCGAAGCCCCAAACTAGACGCATCCTTGCAAGAATTACTGCACTCAAACAGGTTGTAAGTGGAAATAAAATGTACTGCTGCCTTGTTTATCTTTCCCTCTGGCGAGTGTCCTGGGGGAGCGGGGCCCAAGCAGCTGCAGCCCCCCAGGGTCCTGTCTAACCACGGAGCTGTTTACCAACCACCACCACCAACAACAAAATGAGAGGAGTAAGAGCAGCCTGGAAAGCCTTGGGATCTCAGGATGTCTACATCCAGGTGAAAAAAATAAAATAAAATAAAATAAAATAAAATAAAATAAAATAAAATAAACAAAAAAACCCAACAAACAACCAAACAGCCACCCCCCCAAAAAAACTCTATTCTTATTTCTACCTCATATCCCTGTAGTTGATTGTAGCTTGAGATACTCAGCAATTTCCTAAAATCTTTCAATGCAGATGTATTTTTCCAATTATATCCAAAAAATCCTTTTCTTACTTTTTCTTTTAATCTTTCAATACAGATATAATTTTTCCAAC